AAAACGCTAACTACCAGTTCAACGTTGACTTGACATTAGTGCAAAATGTTTGTGTTTTTATCACGTTTTATTTGATAAGTCAAATGTTACCATAAATTGATTAAATGAATCCTTAGGGTCACCTCCGATACAATGATCTATTGACACAACACTACTCAACGTGGTTGGGCTGTGCGTTGGGCGTAACCCCCGACTCACCCGTATTGCCACCACATCTCCATAAATTGATTAAATGAATCCTTAGGGTCACCTCCGATACAATGATCTATTGACACAACACTACTCAACGTGGTTGGGCTGTGCGTTGGGCGTAACCCCCGACTCACCCGTATTGCCACCACATCTCCGCACCACAACTCTTTGGCCGCTCAATGCATCCGATGTGACAGATGTTGATTATGACAGTAATTACACTACAATTAAATGGAGACCCACTTTAGGTGATAAGTCTTATTTTTTATATCATTTAAATTACAGTAACTATAAGTGTATGTGTATTGTCTGACAGGCGATCAAAATAATGCGGTCCATAGTTTTGATGACAAAGAAGAGAGTAATTTTGTGTTGATATTGATTTGTGTTATAATTGTTATATCAGTTGTACTGTCGTTAGCCTTTGTTATGTTTCTTATATTAAGAGCGGGTTTTGGTTCAGACATCAAAGCAGTTCAGAAGCCGATCTCAAAACCAAATACGGTTACAAACAGTGGTAACAAAACTGCTTAATATCTCACAATTGTTATAAATAAATATCAATTTTTATATATTTTATAATATTTACATTGATTCATAAACTTTAATGTTTCAAATAAAGTCATTTTAACTTAAAAAAAAGATTGTAAATTAATTAAATTATCGTTAATGTCAAACCAAGAGATTTGAAAATCACAAATAATATTCCCTATTCTATAGTTACTGATATATCTGTTACTTCAATGCCTCTCGTGATTAGTAACGCAATTTTCAGTAACGGATTAAAAGTTTTTAATGTAATGTAAGAGTTGTTAAAATTTAAAATATTTGTAATAATTGGACAAAATATGAATGATTTTGAGTAATAAAGTATTGTGGAAATGATTGAAATCAGATTTTCTTAATCACAAACTCGGAGACAAAAATAAAGTCAACTCAAATATTCTCACTTTTAATACAATCTCTATATGAAAATGAGATCTGAGTTGAGATATGTTATTATATTTTAACTTTAATGATCAATATTTCACCACATTTTTGTGCACTTATAGTGATTGTGAATATTTCCAATCATCTCGTGTTTTGTCTCACTATATAAGAGTCGATCTCACGTTAATATTTGCCATTTTATGTTTTAATTCAATGCATTAATGTTTACCTCGTTTTATATATTATTCATTTCTCATTTAATTATTTTTTAGTTTTATTCAATTATTTAAGTAATAATGATTTCAATCAATTCTCCAAAACTTGCTCGTCCGGCGAACTCGGGGACCAATAATTTGGCGCCGATTTTGTTTCACTCAATCCACGGCGAAAACGTGCGGCTGTCGGCCGACTCGAAGGGCGCTCAAAGGCACGACAGTTACTGTAAAGGCATTTGTTTCAGTGATCGCGCCATTCGTGTGAACGAAAAGGTTTGCATCAAATTCACGGACATCTCTCAGCGTTGGAAAGGAGCCATCCGTTTTGGATTCACTGCCACCGATCCCATCAACTATAGTCGTTCATCGCTCCCGAAGTACGCCTGTCCTGACCTCACAGGTAAACCCGGAAATTGGGCCGAAGCTTTGGGCGAAAGGTTTGCGGTGAGAGATGTGCTCTTCTTTTACGCGACTGAGACGGGAGACGTTCACTACGGCGTCAACGGCGAGGATCGCGGCATCTTCTTCAGCGGTGTCGACACTGATTGTCCGCTTTGGGCACTGATTGACATTTACGGCAATACTGTTGGCATCGAATCCGTTGATCCGCGACAACAGGTCGTCAACTGTCGCCGCAATAGCTCTGAAGTCGAGAACAATATTCCGAGTTATTCCACGATTGACATCAACCGAGAAAATAGAGAACCACTGCCGCAGGTCTATAGGGATGCGAACTTTCAATCGAGTTCTCCCAAACTGAACGACACGAACAGTAAGTCCGGTATGTTTTGTATTAAATTGATGTTTAATTCATATTTGACTAAATTGTTTATATTGTTTCTATAGAGCCGTTGAATGCAACCGGAAATAAGTGCAATGTTTGCTACGAACAGCCCATTAATAGCGTACTATACATGTGCGGACACGTGTGTAGAATGTGTCGAATGTGTAGAATGTGTTACGAAATTGCGGTCAAGCAATGGCGAGGGCCCGGGTCTGGACAGTGCCCTAAATGTCGAGCCGGCATTTGAGATGTGAATCGCAAGTATTGGTCGTGATTTGCCATTCATTAGACATTAAGTACTAAAAGTTTTGGTTAAGTTTTGGTTTAAAAGTTTAGATTAGAAATCAAAGTTTACTTTAGTTTTTATAAATATTTTGAATGTTTTTTTAAGTTTTTATTTTAAAAGTTTCTTATATCACAAATAATATTCTTTATTCTATAGTTACACTTATTATTAATAAAATTATGTATTTTAGATAATTAAGTTTGTTAATTAGTAATTAATAATTACTAATTCCACATTAAATCCAACAATATACGGTAATAATAAAACATAATGCATTATTTTATTTTATCAATTTTAAATAATTGTTTATTTATTAATTGTGAACTAATTGACTGATATTGTCTGTATTTTTGAACAATTCAATTCAAAAAACAAATTGTAATTAATTTCTGTTAATTAAGTGCATAAGCCTTAAATCCATAGCTCTTCCCATTGAAACATTATGTTTACAATAATTTTAATAGTGATTTGTTGTAAAATAAATGTTGTTATAAGTGGTAACAGTTCCGCAACAACAATGGCATCCAATACGGGTCCGCCAGACATGTGTAAACATTCCTCAAGAATGGATTCAATGACACAAATAATCGTTTCCCACAACAATAAGCTGTCGATCGCTTATTTCATAGCAAGCGGTGGTTATTATTGGTTATTAAACGACTCAATGGTCGCGACGGCCGCTAACTGTTTGGGCCGACTTCCGGACGGGTTTAGAGCCGACACCGCCTTCTTTCGGTTGTGGAAGCGATGCAATGACTCCGTGTTTATACCAATGATTGTCATCGCCGACAATGACTTACAAAATCCGCACAAAATTAAATACAAAACTTATTTCACTCATAACCAGACGTGGGTTTCGGGTGTGGCCGACGCCAAACTCGACCCCTCTCTCAAACACATTGACATCTATAAGGGTTTCAAAAGTGTGGACACAATCATAAACTTCAGCCCTATTATGAGCGGTCAGTTTGTCGGCAAATTAGGCGCTGAAAACCTTTTTGTCTTCTCGTCGGCCGATAATAATACCTATTATTACGATTGGATTCGACTCGAAGGTTGTGTTCACTCCAACCATACCTTTGAGGGGAAAGCCGTTCACACGTTCGGCGGTCCGTTGGAGAGAGCGCTCTGGAAAATGACAAAACCAGTCAATACGGCCGCTGTCTATCTTATGTACGGTTTTAGTGACCCGAAAGAGGCCGATATCTCCTTATTACAGGACAACTCTCACTACATGTTTAGCGTTGACTTGAAATTAGTGCAAAAAGTTTGTATTTTCTTTCCGTTAGCGCCAATTAATTGAATTAATCAATGATTATTGACTCTTTAGGGTCAACTCCGATATACCACAATAGTGACACAATACTACTCAACGTGGATGGGCTGTGCGCTGGGCTCACCACCAGACCCACCGGTATTGCCACCACATCTGCGGACCACAACTCGCCATCCCTTTAATGGTTCCGATGATATGAATGTTGATTATGATAGCAATTACACCGACATCACATGGAGACCCAATTTTCGTAATTATTGCTTAACATTTTAAATATAATAATGCTTTACATTATGATAGTAGTAAATATGAATGTAATGAATGTGTATTGTATTCTTTGACAGATGATAAAAATAATGCCCATAGTTTTGATGGCAACAAAGACAGCGATTTTGTATTGATATTGATTTGTGTTATAATTGTTATATCAGTTGTACTGTTGTTATCCTTCATTATATTTCTTATGTTAAGATGCGGTTGGGGTTCAGAGACCAGTGCAGTTCAATCGCCGACCCCTAAGCCAAATACAGTTGCAAACAATGATAACATAAATGCCTAATATCTCACAATTGTTATAATTAAATATCTACAGTATATTATCCTAATATTTACTTTGATTTTTAAATAAAGTTTTTTAACTTAAATTAAATGTTGTAAATGTAAATGTATTATCAATTATAAGCACATGTGAAGTGTTTTGTGTTGAGATAATGTCATTCTTAATGTCACATTTGATTTAACTGATGAATTACAATAACTGCTGTATTGTATAATTCACTGTATATGTAAAATATACATTACTATCTAACTTAAGAGATCCCGAGACATCTTATAACATTAATACCCCTCATGGTAACTTTAAGAACGTTGAATACGTAATAGTATAATATAAATATTAGTAGTATATATTAATACGTTAAGGTATTGGCGACAATGATATTGACAGCAGACATGAGACAACAAATACCATAATATTTTATATAATTAAAATGAACCAGCCAAAATTAGTATGAAAAGGGATTATGATAAGCTATCGGAAATAATTAATATTATTATATAGTTTAATATAACTTTAATTAAAGTTTTAAATTAATAGAGCACACAATCGGTACTTATAAAATAATTGTTTTTGAACATTTAAATCGACCTGGATATGTTCTTTGCACTTCATGTACATTATTTAATGCCAAATATTTAATAAAATGTATAAGTCTTTAGTCTGGGAGTATAGATCACGGAACTCATGCTATCATTGATTAAGTAATAATCAGGCAATTAATTCAAGTATTTCATATTTGGATTAATATTAGCAAACAGTCAAATGAATTCAAAGTTAGTAGATTTTTGTTGTTTGCAAAATGTGCATGTAAC